TAAAAAATACCCCAAAAATTCAAAATCAATGCCCAAAACTCTTTCCAGCCGATTTTGGGGTTCCGACACGGCGACACTAGCTTTATCGCCCATGGCGGCAATTCACCTCGGCCTTGTTGTTTTTGCTGGTTTATATGTATCCTGCAAAAAACTACATTAGGGGCCTCGGTTGGCCGAAAAATCATCAAAAACACCTAACCTACCGGCGAAAGGTCACCAACTGCGGTGGTTCGATCGGTCCTTCTTCGCAACTGTGGTTCTTTCTTCAGCTAATTTGTACAGAAAAGGATTGTGAGCATAATAATTGAAAAATTGCGTGAAACGAGAAACAGAAATAGGCTCATCGGAGAAATTTTTGGGTTTTGGCTACGGCGGCTCTGCTGCGATTTGCCCACGGTTTTCAGCTCACCTGCCGTTCCTCTTGCTCTGATTTGGCCACAGGGATGCTCGGAATCAAATTTCGAGCGTGTATGGAGAATTTTTACCTTTTTAGCGGTCGGTAGTGGCTCCGGTGCGGCAGTGGTCGGAGGTCAGCCTCTTTCTTCGGCGGGGGTTTGTGGCTAGGGTTTGGGCTTCCATGAAATGCGAAGTATGTATACCCATCATGCATCGATCTGAGCCGTTCATCACGATTGATCTTATCCGTCCGATCGTGCCTAATGTAGAAATGAATCTGGGTCATCCATTGCGATTGATCTTAGTCATTCGATTGGGCCTAAGGGAGAAACGAATCTGGACCGTCCACGCGCACGAGATTGGTTCCTGGTCGTCCGATCGTGGGGCACGCGGATCATCTGCGTGGCCTCCCACGTGGCACCAACATCAACGTGCTTTGCCACGCGACGTGCTCCGGTTCGTCGGAGCTGCTGGCTGGATAGTCCTACGTAGCCGAACTTTTTCTATTTACACTTTGATCCCCTATTTCTAATTTTTTTTTTTCAAAAATACTCTCTAAACCCAAATTTTTAACTTTTTTTCTCAAAATTATTTTCGATTACATTTCTAACCTATTTTTTCAATAATTTAACAAAATTGATTTCGGACAAAATTTTAAACCCGAATATTACAAGATTTGGATCCTACTCAATTTGAACTCGCATTTTAACCAAAAAACCATATCGAATCAAGTTCAAACAAATCAAATTAAGCGAGTTCGGATAAAAAATATCATCTCTATTTTCAAGTGTCATTTTTTTAAGAAAACAAAACTGTTTTATAATAGATTTTGTTAATTGGTTCTTAAATAACGAATTACTTAATATAATTTTTTTTTAAAGTAAAATTCAATATCTATATCCCGTTAAAGTGTTGTAATGCAGTATTAGTATTATACAAAATTATTATTAAACACGCATATACACATATATATATATATAAATATACTAAAGGTATATAAACTGTTACATACATTGTATCTATTATGAAAAATTATTAATCAAAAAATGAAATTGAAAAAAAAAAATAAAAAAAAAAGAGAGAGAAATACTAACTCCTCCTACCCCTTGTCTCATCATGCATCCCACCCAAAATTAATAAGTAAAATAAACAATTTAATGTTGCCAGATGTCTCCCAAACACGTTTTTTGGTTCATTGTTTTTTGGGGTCGGATGAACTACAAATTAAAGAATATATACTCCACTATTATATTCACATTCAAATATTATATTGTCTAAATATAATTTTTTATAAAAAAAAAAAATTCAAAACCATTGTTATACCCTAAAAAATATTTAAATAATCATTACATAAAGGATATAGATTGTATTAGTTATTTTTTTAGTGTAAATATATGTTGTAGAATATGAATCGCCATTTTTCTTAACATTGAGAAATGTATCATTATAATATAATTACGTAGGAA